ATATATATATATATATACATATATTGTTTTAGTCTTTCGTAGATATAATTCAAAGTTTTATATATTTACAATAATTATTGGTTTTTATATTATGTATTATTAGTAATTTAGTAATTTTATTTTTTGGGTTAATTTTATATGTTTCATTATTATATATGATGGTAATCTTTTTTACCTGTGTAATCATTGTAATTCTAAAATTGATTATAATTTATTATAATTTATTTATAATTTTGTTTTATTTTTATATCAATAATTTAATGCATTTTATTGTCCCAGATGACATCTACTGACAAGGACTTTCGATTTATGGCAACCAATGACCTAATGAGTGAGCTCCAAAAAGACAATATCAAATTAGATGATGATTCAGAACGTAAAGTTGTGAAAATGCTTTTAAAACTATTGGAGGATAAAAATGGGGAAGTTCAAAATCTTGCTGTAAAATGGTACAGTTATATCTAGATTAAGGTGTAAATTTTTTTTGTTTGAATTTTTATAATAATGTCATATATGTTTATGTTACTATTATATGTTATTTTGAACATTAGTTACCTTTTTCTTAAAAAGCTAACACGTGTAATTGCTTGTGTGTTCAAAACGCTTATTATGTTTGCAAGATTTTCTTTGTATTTGGACACGATTACAGAAACGTGTCCGATTTCAGTTTGGGCCCTCTAGTCAATAAGGTAAAGGAGTACCAAGTGGAAACTATTGTAGATGCTCTATGCATTAACATGGTATCAGATAAAGAACAATTAAGGGATATTTCCAGTATAGGATTGAAGACTGTAATATCTGAGCTTCCTTTGGGATCCAGTGCACTTGTTGCAAATATTTGTAAACGAATAACTGGTCGACTAAGTAGTGCTATAGAAAAAGTAATTGATATTGCCAAACTTGTAATAAAAAATTATAAATAAAATTTTATGCTATATATTCAGGATAAAAGAATTAATTTTATGTTACATAGCAGGAAGATGTATCTGTACAACTTGAGGCACTTGACATTATGGCTGACTTACTATCTCGGTTTGGTGCTTTACTAATTACGTTCCATTCCACTATTTTGGCCGCCTTGTTGCCGCAACTTTCTTCTCCTCGTCAAGCAGTTCGAAAGCGTACTATAATAGCACTTAGTCATCTTCTAACTTCAAGTAATAATTACTTGTACAATAAACTTGTAGATCATCTACTTGAAGGTCTTTATACACAAACAGCAAAAAATGTAATACGTACTTATATACAATGCATTGCTTCCATTTGGTAAGTATTCTTTGTGAGATATATTTGTGCATATTTAACAGTTTTTATTTGATTAACAGTTCTTATTGAATTTTAGTCGTCAAGCAGGGCACAGATTTGGAGAGCAAATAGAGAAAGTTATGCCACTAATTGTACAATATAGTAATGAGGATGATGATGAACTAAGAGAATATTGTTTGCAAGCATTTGAATCTTTTGTCTACAGATGCCCCAAAGAAATAACTCCGCATATAAATAAAGTAAGCACTCTTCCTTAGATAATTTTAATATCTGAAATTCATGAGAATTATTCATAAATTAGAATTAAATTATTTCTTAAAACTGAATTATTTCTTTACTAGATTATAGAAATTTGTTTACTTTACATCACATATGATCCAAACTATAATTATGATGATGATATGAACGACATGTCTGATGGAGAAGATGTTATGATGGAAGTAGAAGAAGATGGAGAAGAAGATGCAGAAGATGAATATTCAGATGATGATGACATGAGCTGGAAAGTTCGTAGAGCAGCTGCAAAATGTCTTGAGGCTGTTGTGTCTAGTAGACGAGAACTTCTACCCGAACTTTATAAAGTTGTTTCTCCAGCTTTGATTTCAAGATTTAAAGGTATATTTTGCATACAGTAAAACAATTTATTAAAAGACCAATATTATTTAAATTGTTGCTAAAAGTATATATGTATATATTTTTGTAGAAAGAGAGGAAAATGTAAAATCTGATATTTTCCATGCATACATTGCACTGCTAAGACAAACAAGACCAGCAACTGGTGTACCTCTTGATCCTGATGCAATGGAAGATGACGACGGACCTATTGCGTTATTACAACAGCAAGTTCCATTAATCGTAAAAGCTGTTCATCGTCAAATGAAAGAAAAGAGCATTAAAACGAGACAAGATTGTTTCTCGTTGTTGAAAGAATTAGTGCTTGTATTGCCTGGTGCTTTAAGTAATCATATACCCGCATTGATACCTGGTATACAATATTCTTTGGGAGATAAAAATTCTTCATCAAATATGAAGATTGATACATTAACATTTGTACATACGTTATTAATAACTCATCAACCGGAAGTGTTTCACGCTCATATGGCAGTATTAGCTCCTCCGATTATTGCAGCTGTCGGAGATCCATTTTATAAAATTACAGCAGAAGCGTTGCTAGTATTACAGCAACTTGTACAAGTCATTAGACCACATGGTAAGTTTTAAAAAATTCTTTCTAATAACAGATTTAAAGATAAATTAGTAATAAAAGGTTAAATTCATTGTTAAATGTTACTTCAGATAAAACATGTTATTTTGATTTTACATCGTTATCTGGGGAAATATATCGGTGTACATTAATGAGATTAAGAACAGCGGATATTGATCAAGAAGTAAAAGAAAGAGCAATAGCTTGCATGGGCCAAATTCTCGCGCATTTTGGAGATACTTTATCTGATGAATTACACGTATGCCTTCCTATATTTCTGGATAGGCTCCGTAACGAGATTACTCGACTTACGACAGTAAAAGCTTTAACATGTATAGCATCGTCTCCTCTAAGAGTAGATCTTAAACAAATTATGGTACATATGTTATATTATATGTTATGAATTATTATTTTAATATTATTGCATTTGTTTAGTTTCACTATATTTTTTCTTTAGGAAGAAGCAATTCCAATTCTTGGGTCATTCCTAAGAAAAAATCAGCGAGCTTTAAAATTATGTTCTCTTCCACTTTTGGATACTTTGGTTCGAAATTATAGTTCCACTCTTCATGCGGATTTATTAGATAAGGTAATAAAAAATATAGAAATAATGACTAATACTTGTTTTTCTAACCAATATTATTATAAAATATTTTATTAGGTTACTACAGAATTACCAGCGTTACTAAATGAGACTGATTTACATATTGCACAGTTAACCCTCAATCTTCTTACTACTATAGCGAAATTGCATCCAGTCGCTCTTACGAGGGTTTCTGATAATATTCTCCCAGAAATTTTAGTTCTGGTAAAGTCTCCACTTCTACAAGGTAATATATGTTTGATTGTTTAACTAAAACTTTGTATGCATACATATTTTATTAAATGTATATATAACAAAAATATTAATAATTTATTATTTTTGTTACATTTTAGGAGTGGCTTTGAATTCAATGTTAAAATTTTTCCAAGCATTAGTACAAGCAGATATACCAGGTCTTGGTTACAGAGAATTGCTCTCAATGTTGTTAGCTCCAGTTAGTCAATCTGTACTTCACAAACAAGCTTATCATTCCCTTGCGAAATGTGCAGCTGCATTAACGATCACGTGGCATCAAGAAGCTCAAGCAGTGGTAGAACAATTTTTAAAAGACGTTCAAAATCCACAAAGCGATGCGCAGCATATTTTTGCATTATTGGTTATTGGTGAAATAGGTAGACATGTGTAAGTATATATTGTTATATCGATTATGAAATTTTTGTCGTTTAAATTATGTTCTATTTAGAGATTTGAGTGGAATTACTTCTCTGAAGCATATAATCTTGAACTCGTTTTCTTCCCATTCGGAAGAAGTAAAGTCAGCAGCTAGTTACACATTAGGTAACATAGCAGTCGGCAATCTTCCAAAATATTTACCATTTATATTAAAAGAAATCGAGGCACAACCAAAGCGTCAGTATCTTCTTTTACATTCATTAAAAGAGGTAAATTTTATTAAACAATTTAAACTTTGTTTTACCTTCACTGAAAATATGAAATACTTTGTAAACTTATGGATTGCAGATTATTACATGTCAATCTGCTAGTCCATCTGGTGTATCTCATTTGCAAAATTTTGTGCCCTCGATCTGGATGCTTCTGTACAGGCACTGTGAATGCACGGAAGAAGGTACTCGTAACGTTGTTGCAGAGTGCCTAGGAAAACTCACTTTGATTGATCCCGCTACTTTATTACCACGATTGCAAGAATCATTAAAATCAACATCTGCACTTTTAAGAACTACTACAGTTACCGCTGTTAAATTCACTATTTCTGATCAGGTATTTTATACATTAATTTCATATGTTAAAATAAATTATCTAACTGTTTATATAATTTTTACAGCCACAACAAATTGATGCTATGTTAAAACAGTGCATGGATAATTTCTTAGTTGCTCTAGAGGATCCTGATTTGAATGTGAGAAGGGTAGCCTTAGTTGCTTTTAATTCAGCAGCTCATAATAAACCAATGCTCATAAGAGATTTACTAGACTCTGTATTACCACATCTTTATACTGAGACTAAAATAAAGGTATTTGGTAACAATATAATATCAATTAATCATATTAAAATATATTATTTCTTATAAAATTATTTACTTATATATGTTAAATAATTTAAATATAGAAAGAACTCATAAGAGAAGTTGAAATGGGTCCATTCAAACATACGGTAGATGATGGTTTAGATCTCAGAAAAGCAGCGTTTGAGTGCATGTACACACTACTTGATTCCTGCCTTGACCGCCTCGATGTTTTCGAATTCTTAAACCACGTTGAGAATGGTCTCAGAGATCATTATGACATTAAAATGTTAACTTATCTAATGACTGCGAGACTTGCTCAATTATGCCCTACAGCAGTTTTTCAAAGTAAGTGAATACTATAAATTAATTGTTAACTTGTCTTAATGAAATGCTCGATTGTATATAGGGTTGGAAAGATTAGTTGAACCATTGAAAAGCACTTGTACAATGAAGGTAAGAGCAAATTCAGTGAAACAGGAATACGAAAAACAAGATGAACTTAAACGTTCGGCATTAAGAGCTGTGGCAGCACTGTTAACTATACCAGATGCAGGTAAAATATATAAAACATTACTTATCAAGAATTTTTATCAGTTAAAATTGTTTATTCGTTGAGTTACAAATTGTTTCTTCCATTTTTAGACAAAAATCCATCGTTAAGTGAGTTCGTAACGCAGATCAAGTCAACACCCGAACTTCAGCCACTTTTCGAAATAATTCAAAAAGATTGTACTGGTAGTAGCGTAAATGAAACTAATGTGATGGATCAGAGCTAAAATGACTTACTTTTTGTATTTCACATAGATCACTGTTAGCTAAGCATCCACGGTCATATTATTCATAGTTTATTTCTATACGTTATTTTTTCATTATTACCTTCGATCTGAATTGTAGTTTGAGATGAATGTGATTTCATGTAATACGCCATGTATAAATTATAAAATAAATTTGCCAATTGTAAGCATCTTACAATAATGCATCGATATTTCTTTTAATAATAAATAATGTTAAAAACATGCTTCTTCTATCATCTAAGTAATTTTGTTTCTAAGACAAAAAATGATTTTACAAGGGAAATTAAATCTTCATTTCTAAACGAAATAGAAAAATATTAAAAATCTTCTATAGTAAGAATTAGTTTTTTTATATTTGATTATAAATATTTATTTTTTAATTTCATAAATCAATTAAAAAATGTATAATTTATATTTCATTTCTTTTAGTGTATATGTATTCTATTTGCTGACCTACTTATTCAATTCATCAATAAATTTATTAGCAAGGCTAACCACTACTTTCACTCCAAATAAATGTTCATTTGCAAGTTGCAATTTAAAAATATTTCATTTGTCATTTAAAAATGTATGTAACATCGACTGCATTCCACATAAAATATATATCCATGTTTTGTGTAATGTTGATTCATATCATTAACATTTCGATCAAAATGGTAATCTTTAGTATCAGTTAATGTGTGCCAAAAATAAATGAAGCTTAAGGAATACACACATAGGGGTGGTACTTTGCCAAATATTTTGCGGTCGACAGCCTTTAATCTTGCGCTGCGGCTGCAATAATAATGCAGCTCGTTAATTTTGTCACTAAAATTTGCTAATAGTCACGTTGATAGTAATTCATGAATAAAATTCACGATTCATGATAACTTTATAACTGTTTCTATATCTAGATTATGAGACTTGCACACATTATTATGCACCATATAACAACCATAAATGTTTGTTATGCCGTTGATTATTGAATCATTTAGCATAAGAACTAAGATTTGTTTTCCTTATGAGTTCGTGCTGATCTTCATGTGTATGTAAGCTCCACGGTCCTTCACCCAAATCTAAAACCTGTCGCAAATCACGTTTTCCAGTCGAAAATCTATGATTAAATTCTGGAACAAATTTTCACAAAAACGAATTTAATAAAAAAAACTATCGCTATAATAAATAACAAACAATTATTAAAAAGGAAGAAATTGTGTAATTTATTATCGGGAAAACGACATCGAATCAAATATTCGGTACGTGAGGACTGTAAAGACTATATATAAAAATTTCTCCGAATTGAATATACCAAAATTTCTAACGTTGCAGGGAATCACGTAGACATCTCTAAGGTGAACCGCTTTTAACTCGACTAACGATGCCTAGCGTGCTTGTGTGGTGCTGTAGTACACGTAGATCCAAGCTGATCAATGCCTAGACATCAATTGCCTCTATTCCTTTTCGATGAAACGTTAGATGTTTTACGTTAAGCAACTTTTTTCCCGATATCTATGGTTTACTTCCAAGTAAGATCTATTAAATGCTCATCACTACTTCATTTATAGTAAATCGCTTTAAATCTGTAAAATATTTCAGAATATGAAATTTCATAATTTTGTTTAAATTGTGTAAATATCGTATTAAAATTTATATAAAATTTACATAAATAAAATAAAAATAAATAAGATTTTATACAAATTTTATATAAATAAATCTAATGAATATTACTAGCCCGAAATAGATATCATTTAAAAAGTTATAAACAAAGTCACAAATAATAGAAGATTCAGACAATTTATTCAAGTAATTTTCATTGAAAAAGAAAAATGTTAGTTCTATTAATGGAGCTTACATGTATCGTTTTCAGATTTTAGTCAAATAATGCTTTCACGTGAGCGTTACCGATGATAGGGCTGCTTGGAAATTCATCTATTGCTTAAATATCTTTCATCATCGTGTTATTCGTTCGTAGTACCCCTTCATCTAAAATCAAGCGAATAAAAAACAGCAATTGCCGAATAACACTAGTGCGCAGTCGAAATACGTCATCCGGCCCGTCAACTTCCTCTTCTTTTTCCGCGACCTCTTCTTCTTTGTAGCTTCTGTGTTTGAATAATGCACCGCTTTCTTTCTCAGGAATTATCCTCGACCTATTTTTGCTAATTCACATCGAGTGAAAAAAATAACAGCTTTGATTAACTATAATCGTAAAGTAAATGTCGAATATCGACATTTATATGTTTGAACATTTAATTATATTTATAAAAAATTTGTGAAGAATAAATATATTACTGAACTAATGATATTGCGAGGAACATTATCATATTAACAATGATAATTGAGGAATATTAAATGTTAAATATTGCTTAGTACATAACCGCAACCTAAAAAGGAAAATATATTAATAAATATGAATATTAGAATTTAATGCAAAATTTGATACGTCATACATTATATGATATGTATTAGTAACATTTTAAATGACAAAAATGACATATTTAATATGTTATCAATAGGATAGTGACCCTGTTTTACAAACACACTGTGCAATCGCATATGATGAATCAAGATTTTGTTGATTAGTCTTGGTTAAATGCAATAGATCTTTGTTTCCATTATTTGTATATCAAATTAAAACGATATTTTTGCTCGATATGTCAGAAACAAAATACAATTGGAATAGAATATACCTAAACTAAGTAAAATATATCACGGTATGCCAACATTATTATTTTGCATATATCGAATCAATATCGATATGTATCGAATCGCGAAATGTTTCAGATTAATTTTAAAACATTTATCATAAATATGGGACAAATTTTGAATTAATTCTAAAATTTTTAATTACTTATTCATATAGGGACATCATCATCTCGAGTGTAATTGAATTTTTTGTCGAGTAATTATTAAAATAAACAATACAGTATAACAGAAAAAACAGAAGATACATCACATATTGGAACAGTTTGACAATTCTGGAAACTGATCCTACGAGGACAAAAATAAAATGTGCAATACGAAAAAGAATAAATACTTTCTTACTTTTACTTCAATACAATAATTAACCAATTATGATTGCAGTGAATCTTCACAGATCATTGAACTCATCCCTCATAAATTCAGGGTTTTCGAATGGTAAACCCTTTCGATTATATGACCCCGTGATTGGTCGATCGCGGATCATTGGTGGGGAAGTATAAAAGGGGGTTACTTCCACGGAGCGGCGCACTGTGCGACAGTATAACTTTGTGATCGTATCAGATCGCGTCGCGATTTCCAAATTATTTCTGAAACGTTTCGTCAAATTTAAACGTTCTCGTGCGTAATTGGTGTAAACGATTCGGCACGTCTTGAAACGTAATTTATTTTCTCTTTATCACGCACGATCTCGATAAACGAATAACCATGTGTGTACGTACGTTGGTTGGTTCTGAAAGCAACGAGCCGGTAGTGGTATACAATAATCAGAACAAGCTTCAGAAAACAAAAGAGAAGTACATAAAGTTACACAACGATTTTGTCACCAAAGAATCGATCATCAAACAGCGGAAAAATCAGACAGTCTTCATACCAGAACTAGCAGATGACATCTTGAGGGCCAGTACCATAAACTACAGTTCATTTTTAAAAGCTTTGTCCACGTACTACGAGGCAATACGACAAACAAAACTTTTCAAGTATGTCATTTTGTTATTTTTAATTTATCTTCTAGCTATGTTCGTTGTAAATAGCTGATAGGTTAAGCGTAACTGTTTGTGAATGTTTCTCTTTTGATTTATCTCATTTTTTCATCCGTCGATCAGTTAGTACACTGATGGAAAGTACCACATTGATCATTGAACATGAAAATGTAACTAGTCTACTGTCAAAACAGTATTAAAATACTGGCTATACTGGCTATGACCCACATAGTGATTTTTTACCCACGTGAAATCTTATTTCTATGGAATTCGTGTAAATATATTTTCTTAAATAAAAGTTAATATTGCGTTATCTTTGTATTTATATTATTTAAAGGCTGAAGAGTGGTATTTGATCCCATTTTTTAACCAAAATATCCTATTCGTTCTGTAGTTCTCAATACGTATTAAATCTGTCATAGATGAGATATTTTCTGCAAGCAACGTTTCGGTGAATTTAAAAATATTTTTTAATTTTCTAGTTGTCCAAAATGGTTTTATTTGATTAATCAGTATATTTTTTTTAGAATAAAATTGAACAAAAATATAGAAATAGGAAGAGAAAATGTATGTGTTGAATTGTGTCTGTGAATTACCAATTTGTAGAGGTGTGAAACGTAGTCCAAATATTTGATGTTAATTTGACAGGTAATAATAAAAATTGTATAGCTACCTGATAAATGGTAGTTATTATATACGTATAAGATAACATATTTTTTTATCTGCAGTACGTACTAGAATCGATCATAAAAATTTTTAATAATTTTCCATAATTAGTAAATGTTGATGAATTATGATTGCATGTGTCAACTGTAGGGAGTTAATGAACTTCCATTTTCTGATATAGATAATTATAATCGCTATCGCGTAATAGATAATCAAATCAAAATCTAGTCTCTATTCGTTTTATTGATAACAATCGAAATCGTAGCGCCATTTCATTACTAACAATTTGGGATTGTAGAATATACTTTAAATTTGCTTTTTGCATTTTTTTATTAATTTATGTGACGTGACCGACATGAATTGTTACGTTTCTCTTTTGTAGTTTTTCAGAATATTTACTATAGTAGAATATCGCACCTGTTGCTTTATCTGTACGGTGCTAAACTGAATATAACATTTTAAAGGGAATAAGAGACATAAGATAAGTTTCACAGGCAATGAAAAAATTATTAACATTATAAGAAGTTATTATCAAACAAAGAAATTGATAAATATTTTGGTACGATAATAAAAAAGAATTAGGTGAAAATAAATTTTTGAATTGGTTTGCTAAATTTTTAATATCCATATTAGACGTCCCAAATTATTTTAAACAATGTATAATTTTATTCTTATATTATATCTCAATTGTAAATTTACAAGAAATCGTTGTTAGGACTTATGATCATTTAAATATTCTAAACGACGTATCTTCATCTAAAAAGTAGTGAATGAATGCAGTTCTTAGAATCCTTTAAAACGGTAGGG